CAGATCCCCCCGAGGGCAGAGCCCTCCGTGGGGCTCCAGGGCCACGACCCTGCTATCAGGACAGTAGCAAAACCAAGAGTCAGCTGCCCCAAATTCTTCACTTGTAATACAAACTCAAAATCATTTCAGTTCTTTAGTTTTCAACCACAAATATCATGACGCTGTGCCTTAAGAGAATGTCCTACTATAGGTAATGTCCTGTATATCCTTCAAGTGTGATACAAGAGGAAGAAGTGAAAGACCACTGGGAATTCTCCAGAATCCAACTTTAAAATTTAACCCAGGGGCGCCGGGGTGGCTCAGCTGGTTGAGCAACTGCCTTCGGCTCAAGTCATGATCCTGGAGTCCCGTGTCGGGCTCCCTGCTCAGCGGGGAGTCTGCTTCTCCCTGACCCTCCTCCCTCTCACGCTGTCTCTCATTCTCTCTCTAATAAATAAAATCTTAAATAAAATATAATTTAACCCAGAGCAATCCTCCTATAATTATCCTCCAACACAAACAATAAAATTCCAAAATCACACCAGAGCACCGCCAAACCATCTGATAAGAAACGCTACCCCTATGTTTATATAACAGCATTATTTATAACAGCCGGATTACAGAAGCAGCCCAAATGTCCATCAACAGATGGATAAACAAGAGGTAATGTGTGTGTATGTACACGCGCGCGCACACACACACACAATGGAATAATACTCAGCCATAAAAAAAAAAATCTTGCCATTTGCAAGGACATGGATGGAGCTAGAGAGTATAATGCTAAATAAGTCAGAGAAGACAAATACCATATGATTCCATTCATGTGGAATTGAAGAAACAAAGAAGGGAAAAAAAAGCATGAAAGAGGCAAACCAAGAAACAGATTCTTAGTTATAGAGAACAAACTGATGGTTACCAGAGGGGTAGTGGGAGGGGGGATGGGTGAAACAGGTGATGGGGATCGAGTGAACTTGTGACGAGCACCGAGTGACGCATGGGACTGTTGATCTACTATATACCCTATACTGGAAATCAATACAACACTATATGATAACTATACTGGTGTAACACTGTATGGTAACTATATTCTAAAGAATTCTCTAAGAAAATAGAAAATTCTAAAAAGAACCGTACGATCTTAAAAAAAAATTAAAAAGAAATGCTATTAAGGCCATTCCAAAAGTCTCATGGCATGTTCTTTTTTTAAAATAATATCTGTATTATGATATACTTATTTTATAAAATAACTATCTAACAAAATAAAAAGCAACCCCACATTGGCCCCACATTTATTTTAAAACTTTTATTGATTTGAAATTTCGGTATCTAGAAACTAATGTTTTAGATTAAGCTGTAAGTATCTACCTCATAGCGGCAGAGCAGGAAATAAACATTAATGATACAGGTTATATAATTTCCCACTGTTTCTTCACTGGCTTAGCTAACTGCTAACATCTACCAAACCAGACCCCTGACAGTGATGAAATACTTGTTCCAATCTGCATTAATACTACAATAACATGGTGATAGAGGAAGTACCCCCATGTCCTCCCCAGGCCTTACTGATTTCCATGGAAGATAACCCCACTCTCCCAATCTCAAAGCTCTCAGTCCTCCCAGCTCTGATATTCACAACATCCTTGTGATTCTTCCTTAGGACTAGTTTTGAAATCTACTGCATCCTGAGAGCTTTGGAGCCTTCAGACAATATTATTTCCTCTAGAATTACTATTGTTACTAGTCTTTCTTTCTGACTCCAGTCTCTTTTATGGCCAATCTACTCCAAACATAAACCACCTGCACACTTTATCTTTTTAAAAAATAGCTTATGACACTTCACTGCTCAAAACTAAAATTCTCTAAAATCTAGATGGTAAAACCCAAATCAACAGTTTGGGTATTCAAAGCCTTTCATTATTTACTGATAGGTCTCATTCCTATTTATTTCCAACAAGTTCAACCTATTGAACCCCCTTCGCTGTAGTCATTCAATTTAAGATACTAATGACATAAAAACAGCCTTTTAGGAGCAAAAGAAATGTGCTACTAAAGTACATCTCAATTGTAAGATATACTGTAATTTCAGAAATGTTGGTAAAACTTGATGGAATAAAATTCCAGCTGTGATTCAGCTAAAATGACCGTCCTGGAAAATTGAGTGAGTTCCCTAAAGTGAGTTTTACGTTTGGATCTAGAGTGAAGTAGAGATAATTTAAAATATGTAGTTAAGCCAGTAACACTGACATTAAACATCTGTTTTACACACTCTATATACTCGTAGGTCTACTAGTAACCACCTTTCTTGGGTAGGAAATGGGGTGGGAGGAGCAGTAACAAAGGTACTTTGAGTTAATCCAGAAACATGTAGTTCCTGTTAAGATTCTTTTTTTTTTTTTTTAAACGCGGAAGCAAATCCTATTACAGTGAGTGTGAACTCAATGCCATTTACCAACATCAGAAAATGGTTTATCTGTTAACTTCTTTGCTATCTAGGCTCTGTCATTAGAAAGTAAGATCCATTAAGGCAAGGACTTGGTTCACCAATGAAACCTGAAGAATACCTGGAGCACAGCGGGCACTCGACAAAGTGCTGAATACATCTAGATGCTTGGCAAATCCAGCACCACAAGATGATAAAAGGGAAATATCACGGAGCAAGGGGACACAGTGAGCAACCAAGAGACAAAATGGCCGTTGCCTCCAACACTGGCAGACCTCCAGCACTGCTGTTCTAACCAGTGAATGGTTTGTTTCTCCAAACTCACTTTATTTCTTTTGTCTTATTTTCCACGTAGCTTACTTTCCTTGTAAGGATGATTGTGTTTTAGAAACTGGCAGTGGAACCGAAGGGTCTTTAGTATGCTTTATATGTCTCTCCAAAAGTACATGAGATCTTAGGCACAGACTGGAAGAATCTACTGTCAATAGCAACAAGGAAGGTTTACTAGATCACAGATTGAAAAGAATCCAGGAGGCCACCCTACACCACAGAAAATTTTTATAAAAACCCTAGATGTCATGACACAGTAGGACAAGCAAACTGCCAAAAGAGAGGAAGGACACTATTTCCCCATGAGGTTTTTTGTTTTTGTTTGGTTGAGGGTTTTTTTGTTGTTGTTAAAAGCATCAGTCATGATCAAAAACCACTTTTTTACATTTAACAGTAATATACTGTTTTCTTGCTTTCCCAAAATCAACTCTTTAACCTTTAAGAAAATAATTTAGATTTACAGGACTATTAATAAAAAACTGAGACTCAAATGTCAATATGAGAAATTTGCCAAATACCTTTTTCTTTTCTGATATTTTGGTAATTTAGGAATTTTGAGGAATAGACAAGAGAAAATGGCATAACCTGATAGTTAATTTTAACTTACAATGCTTTCCTTAAAAAAAAAAAAAGGCAAAGTTCTGCAGTCCAACTGCATACTATAATAACAACATAAACCAAACACTGAAAATCCACTTTCCAGATATTAGTGGTTCCAACAATTCTCTCCCCTCTTTGTCAGCAGTTTTCTCATGTGTAAAAGCTCTATCACAAGAAAGATTTCCCTTCAAATAAGCTATTTCTCTGCTCTCCTTTACAGAAGGAGACTTTCTTTGAAAGTGTTATCCTAAACAGTTCCCTCAATTCTTTGCCTCCCATTCTCTCCTGAACCCACTCCAAGCAGAATCTCACTCTTCTCCCATTAGAAAAACTGCTCACACAGATCTCGAACAGCTCTAACCCTACCACACCCAGCAGTTGGTTCGCAGTCTTCATCTACCTGGACCTGGCTACAGCATCTCACACACTCCCCCACTCCTTCCTCTCTGACACATGTTGTTCATTTGCCTTCCATGTGTCTCACTTTCTTCGTTTTCCTTCTACTTCACTCTTCACTCCTTCCCAGTCTCTTCCTCATCCTCAGAATGCCTCAGGCTTAATTCCATCATCTGAGCTCCCCAGCAGTCCCTATTCCCTTCGTCTGCTATATTTTTCTCCCCAGCACTTAACACTATAGGACATACCATTATACTTAATTTATTGTTTTATTCTGTCTCTACCCACTAGAGTATTTCAGGACTGCAAACATTTTTATCTGTTTTTGTTTTGTGTTGTATTCCCAGTGCACAGAACAGACCTAGCTCGCTGTAGGAGCTCAATAAATATTTGTGGAATGAGTGAACAAGTGAACAATAACATAAGTGCTAACAGTAACAGCCACTTTGTACCAGTAACTTACCACCCAGACACCCTCCATGAGCAAGTTATATTCATTTCATTTAACCCTCAAACAACCCTATGAGATCCCTATGAGGCCTGCGGGAGGAAGGAAAGGGTCTGGGGAGGGGAGTAAGGGGGTGTTAACAGGCTCTGAATCACAAAACTACCAAGTGGCAGTGCCAGGATTCAAACCCATGTTTATCCTCTTCAAAGTTAATGCTCTTAACCACTACATGGTATTAATTTTACTAAAGTATTAGTTTTCTAATACTTCATTAGTTTTGGAATAAATCCAACTCTGTTATTTGAAGAGGCAGCAATCAAGTTTCCTGCACTCATGAATAATCTCCGTTTTCTCTGTGAAGACAAACATTCATTTAGTCATAGCAATATAAAATTTTAATGGAGACTCTTATTCAAAAGGAAAGCATGCCACATCGCCATTTTCAGTGATAACAGGACAAGTGGGAAGCATATCACCCTCCTTCCATGTGTTGATGGCAGCACTTTTCTCCCATCTATATTAAAGAGCTCAAAGCAGTGATTTCCAAACTTGGCGCAAGAACGACCTGGGAGTTTTTTGTTTTTCTGAAAACCAGAGTCCCAGGCCCAACTTTAGAACAACCAAATCAGAATCTCTAGGAAACAGGTGTCAGGAACCCAGTATTTTCTCAAGCTCCCCAGGAAACTTGGGTGGTTAGCCAAGTTTGGAAAACATTAGTTAAATGAACCAAAGTTGGCAAGAGACTAATAATTCTATCTGAGCCTCTGGCTCACTATTTAACAATGACCAAGTGTCACTGGTACTGACCTTCCTGGAAAGAGGAACGATGCTGTTGGGTCGAACAAGCCTTCGTTTCTTACAGCTCAGCACAGGACGTGTTCGGGCTGCCACACAGGTGCCATCAGTTGATGAAGAAACTAGATTGAGTCGTTGTTTTTTTTGTAACTGTTCTTCAGCATCAGAGATGTCACCTGGAATGTGGTCTGCCAAGATAGGCTGAAGACTATACAAGGGGAAGGAAGAATATTCACTTCTCAGAAGACAAGGAAACAAAGCCTCTAATACCGGTTCAACCTCCTCTGCTTATAGATGTTCAAGACACAAACAAGTATTCTAGAGCAGATGCACGTCACTTCTTAATATAAGTGTGTGTGCAGTGTCTGTGCTTATTTTTAAGACTCCTGGTTGGCATTAACATCATGTCTGAAAAGTGCAAGTCAGTAAGTGATAAACTCAGGTTCCAAGTGATTAAGTTCTCTTCTACAACAGAAACACAAAGAAAATCAAGAAAATTGCAACTGGTAAGAAAATGAATAATCTTGAAAATGTTAATGAGCTGCCTAAGAATCAGTTCTTCTGTAAAATTCGACTTTTAGGGATGGGTACACACTGTTCACTTGTAGAGGGATTCCTTCAACTTTCATAAATACAGATTTACAAACACAGCCTTTAGGGATCTAATCCGTCCTAAAGTAAAAGAGTTTATGTAAACACTTCTCAAGAATTCTACCAAGACCAGGACCAACCATAACGACTCACAAAAGTAGGACCTATTATTTTTTCTCCATTGTGAGTTAAGCTTAGGCTACAGTAAGTAAAAGGGAACTACACTAAGCATGCTAATTAATATATACTTGCTACAGTAAGCATGCACAATACTATTAAGCAATAAGGCTTCTGTCTTTAAACCAGGGTTAGTCCTGGCTACGGATAACTAAGAGCCCCAAATTCATCTTTTACAAGCCTACTGCACCGTAGGAAGTAGAAGACATAAAACTTACGTGTTAATAACTCCATTGACAGGTCTCAATGCTCCACATGATTTGGTAGACAACGACTCTGAGGGATGACCAGAGGCACCATGGTTTTCCAGTGGCTGAGAAACGGATTCGATCTAAAGGAGAAAGATAAAAATACATGATAACATTTAACCAACAGCATCCAGACTGAAAAGTGGCACCATTATTGAAATGAAACACCTCAAATTTCAGACAACTAACCTGCAAAACCAAACATGTATGACTGAGAAAAAAAAAAACAAAAAAAACTAAGAGAACTGGCTTTTGCTTTGGGGTGAAGAGGATAAGGAAACAAAATATTCAACAGACTAATATTAAGTGCTTACTGATGGGGAAATGCTTTAATGATTCCATGGAACAGAAGCTTAGCAAAATAATTACATGGTAACAAGAGTCTTCAAGGGTCAAGAGGATACACAGGTTCAGTATCAAGGCAACTAAGAGAGAATGTAAATGTAGTTAATACCTGCTTAACTTGACAGTGTATGCTGGAAACCTCTTTCTAGAAAACCATACTTTGTGTAAATATATATGCATATACTAAAATAGAAAAAAATTAATAAAAGTGAATAACTAATTACCTGATGCTATCAGTTAGTAACTACTGTCTCTGGACTACACAAATCAAATACATGCTTAGGACATTAGCTGAAAAAAAGGGAGGTGGTATAGAATCTGGAAAAGTTTGAATCCGACTATTTCAAAACAAATTATGTATTCATTAGGCTCAAAAGGGATAGGCAGAGCCATGAGATGTCAATCATATGGAGTCTCTGAGTTACACTCAATAAAGCCAGAGATACACACCACTTATCCCTCCATTCTGGTGTTGCTGGAATACCACAGAAAGGCGGTGGGTCTTTGTCTCCTTACAACTCAAAATGACTTAGGGTGTGCTTAAGTTCTCCTCTCTGTAAATGCTACCAGTCCATATCAAAGCCAGTATTTTGAGGCTGAAATTCTCTTTTTTAGTATTATTTAATTTCTTTTAGATCTTTATACCCCTGGGGAGAAAACACCAAAGAATCTGCAGAACAGAGCAGTTGTAGGCAAGTATCAAGAAAGGACAATAGAGGGGAACCTGGTGGCTCAGTCACTGAGCGTCTGCCCTCGGCTCAGGTCGTGGTCCTAGAGTCCTGGGATCCAGCCCCGCATCGGGCTCCCTGCTCAGCAGAAGCCTGCTTCTCCCTCTCCCACTCCTCCTGCTTGTGTTCCCTTTCTCACTGTCTCTCTCTCTCATATAAATAAATAAAATCTTAAAAAAAAAAGGCAAGAAAGGACGATAGAGGGGAGCCTGAGTGGCTCAGTCGGTTGAGTGTCTGCCTTCGGCTTGGGTCATGATCCTGGGGTCCTGGGATCGAGCCCCATGTCACGCTCTCTGCTCAGTGGGGAGACTGCTTCTCTCCCTCCTACTCCCCCTGCTTGTGTTCTCTCTCTCTCCTTCTCTGTCAAATGAGTAAGTAAAATCTTTAAAAAGAAGAAAAGGACAATAGACTGGAAAGCTAACTAAAATGTTTTCACACAAATTAACCAAAAAGCTAGTCAAAGTATACAAGCAGAAAAGACATAAGCAAACTACAATGAGTGAACACTGGGAAATGTTCTTAGAGATAGCCTGTACAGGTACTAAATTACCACATAAATCCTGATCAGATCAGTCAATGATGCCAAAATCATGACAAATTTGGCACACATACTCATTGCCTTAAACACTACACGAATTTCCTCTTGGAAAGTAAAGTGGTGTTAAGTAGCAAGACTTACAAAGATGTTCATATCACTCAATCCTAAAAATTTATCTTAAATAACCCAATAAACACACTTCCCAAAAATCTTATATACAAAGCTGATCACTGCAATGGTATCTATCAATAATCTCAATGCTCAACAACTGAGGCACAATTATAAATTGTAGCACAGCATATTAGAGTATTAAAAATAATCACAAAAGACATTTCTCCTTTTTATACCAAAAGAATATTTAAAGGTAAAAAAAAAAAAGTCTTTTATGTAGAAATGATTTTGGAAAAAGATTAAATTCAAAATGTTTTTAATACAACTGTGATGACTATAAATGTACATACACAGACAATGACAGCAGAAAAATAGTGTTCGAGACAAATTTTTTTAGATAATATTTTTACATTAAAAAAAAAAAACGGGAAATCCCAAATATCCTCCTGAATGCTCATAGGATTTACTATTCAGGAGAAACCTCAAAAAACCCAAACATTACGGTATGAGAAAGGACTAGATAATCAGAAGGATTTAATATTCAGGTTGGCATTAACTAGCAGATGTGTGACTCCAGAGATGTTACAGCTTTCCTAAGATTACAGAAGTTCTGGTTTAGATGAAGAAGTTTCCTTTCAACATGAAATTTTGGTGACTATGAACTTTTTGCTGGTATAGCGATCTTAAGAATTTCAATTTTACATTCCCTTAAAATAAAAGCATTCAACATTACATTACGGCAGAGATATGATCTATACATCTACATGTTTTATAAGATGTCACTTACAAGTAACAGGTTGAATCCACATTTTTTTTTTTTTTTTAGATTTTATTTATTTATTCATGAGAGTCAGAGAGAGAGAGAGGCAGAGGCAGAGGGAGAAGCAGGCTCCCAAAGGAGCAGGGAGCCCAATGCGGGACTCGATCCCAGGACCCTGGGATCATGACCTGAGCCAAAGGCAGATGCTTAACCATCTGAGCCACCCAGGCGCCCTGAAACCACATTTGATTAAAGTTTATTTTGTAGGGATTATGGGAAAATTAACTGTAAGGACGCCTATCAAAACAAAACGTTGCTGCCATTCTTTAACAAAATCTTATTTCAGAAAACCTTATGTACAGAAAGTCTGAAGAAAAAGCACAAAACATCAGAAATCTCACGACCTACAGATAACTACTGGTAAATCCTATCCTGTTTATGCCTACAGATATATATATATATATATATATATATATATTTAAATGCCATTAATATTCAATGTGAATTTTATTGATTTTCTTAGAGGAACTTAAAATTTTCCTGGGGGCAATTCAGGCCCCCAAATTAAAACTGAAGGCAACAGGAAAAACATTATTTAGCACAGAAATGTTTGTCAAAGATAAAACAGCACACAACAAGCAATCAAGAGCATGAAGCTCAGAGGGAATGTGCCTAGCTTCTAGTCCCAACCATACAAGGAGGCACTCGATAATCAGAGGACCGTGGGATATCCTATAATCACACTGAGATCTAAAAGCAGGGCATTGGGGCAATTAGGTTCATCACCCATTCTCAAATGTAAAGAGCTTAAAACATTAACCTCAATCCTCCAACAGTGTTCCATGTGGAAAAAGAAAAACACAACTCACAACACAATTTTACTCAAAGATACTTAAATGCATTCACAGTTAAGAAAAAGCAAACACTCCCTATCCTGCGGTCCAAAAGGGTGTAAAAAGAGAGAGGGCAGAGATACATTAATAAACACTTCACAAATGTTAAACCCACATACTAACTTAAGCTTGATCATCACTATTGCAGTGGTTTGCATCATTGGTATTTTCAGGAAACTAATACATGACTCAGATACGGTCTTCCAATGGGAAACTGTAAAAAGGATCAAAGACTCTAAGGCTCTCCTATCCAGAAAGCAGGACTTACTACTGAGCTTCTCTTGAACTGTATGTGGTATTCAGATACACTCTGAGGGTACATGGCATCCCACAGCCAGAAAGAAAGAAGTAGAACAGCTCAAGAGGTAGAGAATTTCTCTTAATTCCCCTTTCCCCAAAAGCAGGGAGTCAGGGGATTACCTTCTGGGGTGATCTTAGAGTTAAAAGTAGCAAGGAGGGTTACTGAAGTGATTTCTTCCCTGACTGAAGGGGCTAGATATATGGAAGAAAATAACACAGCATTAAAATTCAAATTTGTTATACATATAAAGCAGACATCTGTCTGATTCATCACTACTCCCTTTTGGCCAGACCACTAAGTATGACCAAGAGCCTTTAAAGAAAAGTTAGGCTAAATTAAGGTCTAAAAGGGTAGCTTTTCTTGGGGTCTAAGAATCCATGCCCACTCAACTTATTCTGCCAAACAGTAGAGGAAGTAAAAGGATAAATATCAAAGGCACACACTTAAAAACACATAACCTGCACAATATATGTGTATCTTTAATTCAATTAATGCCAGGTCATAGCTGCTTGAAATTTTTTTAAGTGCAACACATTTGTTCAGAAAACTTAAACAGTTGGTTTTTGGACCAACGTCATCAAAAAGGAAAGAAAAAGCTAACTAAAGAAGTCAACTTTTATTCTTGGTTCAAAATAAATTACTCTTTGGCTTTATATCACTTATTTCATGTTTCAAGCTCATCTCAATGATATTCAACATAGTCTTGCTTAAAATCACCAAAATATTACTGGCCCATAAACAGTATACCAGTCATTTCCATGAACTAGCACCATGGCCAGGAAATTGTGCTAAATTGAGAGTGGAACCTTCTGAAAATTCCACTTCCATCAAGTTACTTACCTAAGTTCACAGTTCTGCACATATAAAATGGGACTGTATGTGCCTCACTTTCCTATGTCTCTATGTTGAGGTTAAAAGAAAATCTATACACTTGGGTGGCTCAGTTAAGCAACAGACTCTTGGTTTCAGCTCAGGTCATGATCTCAGGTTTGTGGGATCGAAGCCCATGTTGGGTTCCACGTTCATCAGGGAGTCTGCTTCTCTCCCTCTGTCCCTCCCACTCCTGTACTCTCTCTCTCTCTCTCTAATAGATAAAGCTTTAAAAAAAATCTATATAATTATGCAAAAGTAATTTTGAATTTTTTAAATATGTATGTATGTATGTGATCTCTACACTCAACATGGGGCTCGAACTCATGACCCTGAGATCAAGAGTCGCATGTTCCTCTGACTGGAGCCAGCTAAGCACCCCTGAATTATTTACATTGAAAAATTTCAATCAGCAGGATGCTGTTACATGCAAGTCCAAAGGCTACTGCACCTAAGATTTATATTTACCAACACCACTGAAAATACACATCAAGAATCTAGAGAAATACAGTAACTGCTAAAAACAGTCCTAAATTC